CATTAGCCTGCTTCCCCTGCCCCTGCCGACATGCATGGGTTGGAGAGGTGCAAGGGTGCTTAGGACACAGATGGACACGCTTGGCTTTGGGAAGTTAGAGACTGCTGTAATTTAAGCAAAGGAAAATCAAAACTTTGGTTTCCTCCCCCCCTGCCATCCCCCTTCTTTATCCACCCCCCTCCCGACACAGCTAAACTGTAGTTTCAGGTCTGCTTCGCTTGACCTTTTTAGCTTTGATAAAGGGAGCCTTTATTCATGATGCATGAGCCTGGTTCTTTGAAACCTCCGAGAAATGGTTTGTTCATTGAACATGCAAACAAATTACTTTCCGTGGACTGGAATTTAAACTGACATTAAAGCTGGGAGAACATCTATATTTCATTATGTATAAGGGCCAGAAAACAGTTTGTAACCTTAAAGCAGTGTAATTAAAAGTGAAGTCCTTCCTGGGAAAGAAATTTATTCTAATAAAGCTCTCGGACTTTGGTTTGGTCTCTGCTGATGGTTTGGGTCGAGCTGATGGGGGGGGAAACAGCCACCTCCTCCTAATATTGGTTTTCAGGTTGGGAAGACTTGGCCAAAGTGCTCCCCAATGGTGTCAGAGCAGCTGCTGGAAGTGGTGAGCCCCAGTATAGGACTGGGCATGAATCTTTTATAGGTCGGGTAACTGGAGCCAGGAAGCAGAGTTGTTGAGTGTCTTTCCAACAGGATTTTCCAGGGGTTGAGCGGGGCTGCCGTCACTGCACAAGGCTTGGCTTCTAGAGGGAAGCAGCCCCTTGGGATGGAAGAAGTGGGAGATTTTTCCCTCCTTTAAGCAATGTGCCCTGCTGCTTACAGAGCAGTTTAATATGCACAGGCAGTGATTAAGCTGACAGCTTTTCCAGCTTGGCTTTTTGTCGGAGCAGAAGGGGGATAAATGCACAGTTTGTGAATGGGCACTTAAAATGCAGCAAGCTGCCGAGGTTCTTGCTCCTGACTTCCCTTTCCCCGCGCTGGCATCTCTCGCACGGCGAGGGCCCCCGTTTCCCCGGCCTGATCCCTTTCGTGGTGCTATAAACGTCCCGTCTGCTTGTCCCTATGTTGCTTTATCCAGCAGCTGCCAGGTTGAATAGCGGTGCTTTTTAGACTGGGACCTTGTTTCGATTCACATGTGGGTTTTTTTGTTTTTTCTTAAATGCTGAGCTGGTTGGAAGACAGGCTGGTGTCACTAATGACAGCTGCTAATGGGAACCCAAGGAGGGGAGCAGTTGGCACTTGCAGGATGCTGCTGCCTTCTGAGCAATGGAGATTTGCTGCAATTCGGTGACTCTCACCCTCAATTTTGAAGTTCACTCAATGAATAAAAAGCATCGACTGTTCCCAGCCATCTCTCCCTGGGGGGGTAGTAAAGCATTGGGACAGGATGCCCAGAGAGGTGGTGGCATCTCCATCTCTGCAGGCTTTTAAGGCCCGGCTAGACCAAGCCTTGGCTGGGATGATGCAGTTGGGGCTGGTCCTGCTTGGAGCAGGGGGTGGGACTGGATGCGACTTCCTGAGGTCCTTCCAACCCAAATTTTCTATGATACAGCCATTGGAGGCCCTTGGTGCAAATGGTTTCTTGGTCGTGTGCTGCAGAGAAAAAGGCCAAAGGCTGATGAGGAGAGAAGCTCTGCAAGCGCTCTCCTCTCTCCTTTGCTAGGGCTGCATTCGGAGTTGCAAAGGCAGCAATAAGCGCCAGCCCCGCTCTTGGCATTCGGCGCGCCCTTGTACCCGAGCCCGCCTCTCTTCCCCATGCATTCAAGCCCTAATGAAAAGGTAATGGCTGTGGCCTTGGAAAAGTTTACACCTATGCGACTCAGATTGATGTTGTGCGCCAATATAAATCACACCGGGATCCGGAGTGGACAGATGTGCAGCTATCCCAGGGTAACTGTATAGCGCAGGCAGCAATGATGTGCCCCATCATTATGTGGTAGGGGGCAAATAATTCTCTGTTTGCCTTAGATGAGCAGCTACCCTGGAATAAACTGCAGACAGATGACACCAACACCTGTGTAACTTAGACCAGGGTTGTTTGACCTTTATTTTTCCTTCAAATTATCAAGGGTTTAAGGTCGTAATTTTATTTCTAAGCAGCAGGGAAAATACTGCAGCGGGTTTGAGAAGGTGATAGCGCTGCTTGTTGTGCGTGCACGACTTGGTTGCAGTAGTGCAGAGGCTGATTACGTTGGTATCGACACGTTGTGTGTGCGGCGTTTGAGTGCCGAGGCGCGTGAGTTTCCCCAAGCTACAGACTTCTGCTGGAGCTGGAGGCCATTGGGATGATGGAGCAATTGCTGGGCTTCCTCCCTGGTTGGGTGTTTTCGGTAACTGGCTTGCTAGCACTTTTTACATAATTATAGAGTTCCTTCACAAGGGCAGGGAATTGGTGTTTTTTCTTACGAACCTTTCAAGCCCTCTTGAAAACGTCTTTCAGATGTAAATGCGCTGCGTACTTATAGTATCTTAGTCCTACAGCAGGAGCTGCAGCTTTGTGGATCACTTTTGTGTTGCTTGGACTTCAAGGGGAGCCAGCTCTGAAATCGCAGCAGCCTGGTGAATGAGGCTTTCTGCTTCTCCACCCCTCTGAAATTTTATGCCGGTGATTGGAGAACAAAGCCAGCCGCGATGCCTGCGCTCATTCTCTATGCAAAGCCCATACCGAACGTCCAACGCTGTTGTGAGCAAGACGGAAGGTGCTTGACAGTCCCTGTAGTTCAGTGCTTAAAGCCAAGCAAGCTAAACATGTATAGGCTTTCCCAGGAATCAAAGCTATTACGCATAGGGGGTTTTCCCTGCTGCTTAGAAGTAAAATTACCAGCTTAAACCCTTGAAAGTAAAGATTTGCATAAACTACTTGGTGTGTACATATATGGGTGTGTGCGCACATAGGTGCATATATGTGTGTGTGTGTGTGTGTGTGTATATCTATACACATACATACATATTTATATACATATATTATATAAATATACATCTGTGTATATACACATGCATGCACACATACGTTTATATACATATATACACATGCATGCACACATATATACACACGCACACATACATGCATACATATATATATATACACACACATACATACATATATACACAATATACATATGTGTACACAAGTGTGTATAAATATAAATGCACATGCACGCACACACACATACATACATAAATGCGCATGCACACATACATATTTGTTCTGCAAACACCCAGAGCCTGGATTCTCCAAAGCACTTGTGCTGCACGTGGCGTTGTCCTCCCAAGGTCCTGAGCTGTGAGTGAGGAGGGAGGGTGGTCTTGATGTTGGGGTGGAGGACTGGACAGACATAAAATCAAGTCACTAAGTCAGAGTGTCGGGAGCGAAGGGACCAGCACCGCTGATACGGGGAAAGCATGGCGGTGTTGAGTAACTCCTGGGTGTTGACTGAGGTCCATGGCTGCGGTGGGCTAGTTCTCAGCCTGAGTAAGTACAGCAGATCTGACTTCCCCCTTGGGGAAGACTTACATTTCCATGCAGTTTGCATTCACATCGGAGAGTAAACATTTATCCGTCACGTGGTGCAGCTGGTATTTTGCTACTGTGGAAAACCACAGAGGCAGCGAGCTAAAATGTGAGTCATTTGGCTTGCGAGGTGGTGGTGGAACCCATAGTGCATAAATAATAGTGTCGGCTCAGACATGCACGTCGATGGCGTCTTCTGCTAAAACCATTTCCCTGCAAAAATGCAAAAGCATGAAAGCTCTGGAGCACTTGGAGTCTGTGAACAGCCAAATGAATCCAATTTGGCTTCGTGCTCAGGCCCATTGCAACAGTGGCCCCATCATCTAAAAGCTAGATTTTTCTCCCTGCCCGAGAGAGAAACCCCATCTGGGAGTATGTCCATAGTGACGTATCCCCGGGCTAATCTCAGAATCTGCCACATTTTGTTAAGGGATTCCTGCAGGGTGTTCTCTGTGACTATTTTTGGTCAAATATTTAACCTTCCTTCAACCTTGGATTCATTTGTGCAAATAATCTCAGGCTGGAACAGGCAACTGGAATTTAAAAACAGGACTTTGCAGGTGGGTGGAATTTGTTCTTTGCAGCTCCAGCTGCAGAACGTACACATTGCTGGAGTTTTTTCTTCCTCCTTTTACCAACACCATTCGTCCCCCTCTGCCCGTGCCCATAATGGAGCATTAATATTCCAGCAAAGCAGTTGTATCTACACTTGGCACTTTGCCACCTGCTGCCTAAAGTGTCAGCATAAAAAATTATGGCTGCCATCTCACGGTAGCCCTTTGCAAAACTGAATGTTAAAAGCTGAACTGTAAAGCCTTTGCTTTGTTTTGGAAACCAGGTTGGGGTGATTAAATAGAAAATAGTGCACATTAAAATAGCATTAATGAGCTTGGCTTAAAAAAGAGAAAAACCCATCAGGATCTTGCAAAGTCCAATTCCAAGATAAGATTCATGTCTCTGTCCTTGACTCTTTGCTTTTCTCTGGCAGCACCTGGGGTATTGGCCTGGGAACCAGTCAGCTCCAAACCCATTCCATGTATTTAGCTGTTACTTAGCATATGGCTTTCCCTGCATCTCCCACTTTCTTGTTTCTGCTATTTTTGCATGCAGATGTTCTTGTTTTCAGCATTTTTTCTGTCTACCTTTTGGCTGCGTGGCATACCCACACACCAGGGGAAACTGAGGTGCTACAGGAATCTAGACATGACTACACACAAAATGCAATCAGCGGTGCAAAGGAAAGCTGTATAAATGCGAATGAGGGAATAGACATTTCCTGCATCTCAAATTTAAAATCGTATTATTGCATGATAGAAGTTAAGAAAAGATGCAAACAGAAATGTCCTTTTTTTTTTTTAATTGGTCTTATTCCTTGAAATTGGTCTTATTCTTTGGATATGATTATCTTGATACTTTCAGGGTTCCATTATTTTAGCTTTTGCTGCCAATTTGCCTTTCGGAAAGTTCGTGACAGATGAGGGTCTGGTAAGGTTCTGCACAGTATTCTTATACCAGCATCTTTTAGAGGCATTGCTCTCTGTGTGTGGATCATGTATAATAATCCTATATTGGCATACTCGGTAAAAACCAATTTGAGAAGTGCTCTTCTGGCTAATAGAAGTGCAAGTTTTTTCTTTAAAAAAAAAAAAAAATTCCAAACGTAGTATGGACGAATTAGGAACACGTCGCTTTAATCTTTGTTATTAGAGAGCCGGTCTGTAAACTTAGAAATAATCCAATCAACCTTCTGGAAGCACCTCAAAAAGCTCGTACGACCAGGAAGCTTTCTAAGCTTTGCAGAGCTGCAGGCAAGAATGAAGTTTTACAGCCAAGGGCTAATCCTCTGCAAATCAGAAGTTATAATACAAATTTGTTGTTAGACCCGTAAGTAGAATAGCACTAGAGGGCGCCATTATAATATTGAAATGCCATTTTATTTTTTCCCCCTGAATTAATTCCCAGTTGGAGGTGGAAAGACTCTACTTACAAATACCGAGAGCAAAGCGCGGTGAGGAACGGCGCATCAGCGTGGCGCGGTTCACGCGCTCCGAGGTAATAAGCACCATTTGCCTGCGATTGTTCAGCAGTTCTCATCGTCGGATCCACTTAGTTTAAGAAACCCGTGCTTTGGTTGAAGGCGTTACTGGGCGAACGTACATTCGTTCTCAACGTAAATGGATGAGAGATCCAATAGCGCTGAAATCAAGCAGCAAGAAAACGAGGGAGGGGGGCACGCGTGAGAAATGAGCTTTAGCAAAATGTGTGTTTTATAATCTAACGGCTCCTAAAAAGTTAGTGTTCAAAAATATTTGAGTTTGTTAATGGCTCTTCGAGGCTCCTCTGTCCTGGTCATGGTCGCAACTTCCAGATGCATAGAGAAGCCAATTCTGGGAGACGTTCGGTGTCCTAGCCGGATGTTCCTTTTTCCGCCACTCCCCCTCCTTTCTCTCCTTGGGTTATAGCGGGTATCCAGTCCATTATTTTTTTTCTTCCACCAGATCATCTTTCATCCCGTCGGAGCTGCATGTCTCTTTTGAATCCTTTATAAAAATAACCTTCCTGACATGGTAGGCTCTTCGGATGGGAGAAAGTCCTCTTTTCTGGTGCAATCCGAGCCAGTTTTCAAAATCTTAGCTTTCATTTAAAGGTTTCGTCCTGGACTTGTTCGTTCTTAATCATTAACAAAGTTGTTGAGCATGTCACTGAATTTTCCTGTTGTCGATAACCCACTTGAAATGATCCTCCGGGGATAATAAAGCAGCGGCCGCTCATCAGAAGCCTGTCCGCTTTGAAGGATGCACCGTTCAACATAAAGCACGGAAGAAGCGGTGTTTGTTAACCAGATCCCAGGGTGTTCAAACACCGCTTGGTCCGACTCACCTGGGAGGATCAGTGGGCTCGTTAGAGAGTTAGGTGGCCCTTGGCTGCCTTTCCATGTTTGATGCTTCTTTACGAGTGAAATCCTTTAATTATGCTCTTCGGCAAAGTTAAGGGAATTTGACGCCTGCTGATCTCCTGCTTTGAAAAGACGGTGGTAAGTGGCCGTAGTAGCGTAGGGACAAAGTCGAAGCTTGAAGGTCTTCCCAAGCCTGGAGCCCATTGAGCTCAGGTGGGGGAACAACATCGCCAGGGGCGTCTCACCTGGTCACCTTTGACTTCCTCGCCCGAATGGCCGGTGCCTTTGGCTGGAGCCCGACTCCTGGAGCCATCGTGAGATGCCTTGGGGACCTGGAGGCAGGTCAGCTTTTAGAGAGAGAATAAATATAGACTATTTAAAAAAAAAAAAAAAAAAAAAAGACCCGAACCAGTGCACAGCGGTGAAGTGGTTTAGCTTTGGAATTAGCCTTCCTTTTGCTCGAAGCCAGCCCTCAACACCGGCTTAGAAAACCACAGATGAAAAGATTATTAAACAAAATAAGGGCCCTGATTGAACGAGTACCCGGGTGCATGCTAAAGTTGAAGCATACCGGCAGTGCCGTTTTTAGCTCCAACATTAAGCATTTGCTTAAGTGCTTTGCTTTTTTGGCTCGAAGAGGACTTTGCTGAGCCTTTCAAGTTCGTGTTTTCAGGCAGTTTTTGGCAGTTGCGAGGGCCAAGAGTTTTACTTTTGTAAATGGGAGCTTGGACGCCATTGTGGTCGTGTGATTCTGGGGCTAGGAGAACACGCCAGACTCGGGAGTCGTAATGAGATCCTTTGCCTCTGCCCCTGGTTTTCTCCTAGGGAGAAGGCAAGACCACAGAGATGGAGGGTTTGGGGTTTTTTTTTAAAGGTGTTTGGCTGTTAATGGTTCAGAAACAGAATTAGCATTTCTTTCTCTTGGGAACTGGCAAGCCTCTAAGGAACTGCCTGCATGTTTAAAAGGGTGGCCTGGCTTTGGTCTTTGTGTTTTCATTTTGCTCCGTGCTGGCCTGTCCAACATGAAGGACGTAGAATGGAAATAAAGGTCAAAGGGAAAAATACACCCCCCAATTCCAGGTAGACCCGTCCAACAGCAACAACCCAAATACCCATCGGCTAGGATGCATTGCAAAAAGAGGTTGCTCCTTGCTACTCAAGGCAGAATTGCTTCTTGTCTTTTGGCTCGGTAATGCTTATACCTGAAAGATCCCATCTCACCGCTGGGGGTTAAGTCGCTAAGGGGCCGTGAAAGCTGTCTCAGACGTTCAGCCTCTGGGAATATCTAGGCAAGCAACTGTGCTCCATCAGGTTACAGAAAAACCTCGGCTGTTTAAATGTGTGCTCAAGTATTATAAAGCAATGTTTTACAGAGTTCCTTTTATCACAGTTCTGCGAGGCTTGGTCACGTAAAGTTATACAGGCAACAAACAGGCCAGTGCCGAAGTGAAGTTCTTATGGCTTTGCTTTGATTTCCACAAGGAAAAAGCATGGGTTTGAAATGCTCCTTCTCGCTGCAGACTGAAATCTTATTCAAAGCAAAGCGAGCTCTGAATGGGAAGTCCTGCTTGCGACGGGGGATTTATTACAGGGTTGTCTCAGCCGTCGGGCCCGGTCCTTCGCCAGAACGGCCAGCGAGGTCCCACGCGCCGTCTCTCCCGAAGGGCAGTTTTGGCTCAGTGATGATGACTGCAAGATGGGACCCATTCTTCAGAGACTATTTTGTTACCCGTGAACCCAGACAGGTTTCCCTTTTAAAAAAGAAGAGCGAGAACCAAAAAACCCTCGATGATGCTTTAGCACAATAGAGTTAAGAAGAGTTTTATGTTCCCCAAAAATGCATTCATGCTGCTAATTGGTCCCTTTCTCTCTCTTTCCCCCGATGCCTTTCACTTGCAATGTCCGGACCTGCCTCCAATTTTGGACCACGTTGTCTCTTCAACGGCTTTTCCTTCCTTGCAACGACCTCGATTCTTCTGGAAATGCAAACTTGAAGGTAAGCTCATTGCTAGAAGCATTTCGAATGTTATTTTGGGCCCGGCTCTAATGAAGGAGTTGATAATGATTAAAAAACCCAACTCTAGATAAACCCCCAAGGTCAAGCCATGCAGTACTCCATTGTGTTCCATAGGTGTTAGTGTCACCAAATTAAAAAAAAGGAAAAATGGACTTTTTTTTTCCCCAGCAAAAATTAAAAAGTGAGAAAACTTCAGCCAGGAAAGCAGCAAGCATTTAGTTGGACCTGACATGTTCCACGGAGCGTGGCCGTGCATCGTAGGGGTCCCTGGCTGTGCGGTATCCGGTGGGTAGTACAGCCCCGAGATGAGAGTGGGCATATGAAGGGACCAAGCAGCCTCACCCGCGATGCGCCAGGGCGGCATATCCGCGTCGAGACTCATTGATCCCCAGTGAAACGTGCTTTTCATGAGAGATTCCTTCAAGGCAAAATTTAGTTTTCCCACCAGTTTTGGTGGAAACTGTTTGCCCCCTTGTAGGTTTTATACGCAAGTGGGTGACAGCTGTGGGCCTCGTGCATGGATTTGGGCTGGCGCTGCTGCCCCGTGCTGGGTTTCTAGGGTTTCAACCCTCATTCAAAGGGTCCGCTGAGCACTGTAGAGCCTGGCTTTTATTTCCAAAAATAACTCTGACCTTGGTGCATGGAGCAGAGCAGCTCAGCACCTAAACACCTTTCGGCACACGGCACCTATGACTGGTCTCAAGCTGAAGGGATGCCACGTCTCGGAGGCGAGATTAGAATACAAGGCAGCTCCTCGCTCTTGCACGGTGTGCACGGAACAGCCCCTATGCATGCATGTGCATTTGGGGTGGGGGGTAACCAGTGCTGCAAGAGCAGCTAGATCCATCGCTAGCTGCTGCATGCCTTCCTGTCTTTTTGTGGGGGAGCTAGGCAGGCCGTGTAGTCCCGGATGCAGTCCTAGCAGCTGTGCCATGCTACAGTGGTGCGATGAGCCAGAAGCTTGCTCAGGGCCCAGGAGCAGCCGTGAGACAGAGCTCTTTGCATAAATGCCTGCTCAGCAGTGTAAGGCACAGCCCGTGCTGTCTCCATTGCAGGGTGCTTGTATTTCTTCTTTAATTCCTTGTGTGTTCAAGTTCCAGTCACTGGCTTAGCAGGGAGAGCCAGGTCTTAGCCGGCTGCGTTTCTCTCTTTGTCTGTGTTTAGCATCTCGCCGACAGGCTGAAACGCTCCTTGGCAGTTCCATCCAGGTCCATTCAATCTGTCTTTCCTATTTCCATGATGCAGCAGATTTCCTCCCCCCCTTCCCCGAATGCAAATGGCTGTTCTTTTGTGAGAGATTTAATTACAGCGCGAGTGAGCTGCATCCATCACTTCCAGTCCAGAGCCCATTCGGTGCCTCTCCTATCGTGGCGGGTGCGCAGAGTCACCGGGCTCCACTGAATGTCCCTCACTTTGGCAGGCTGAAAAGGGAGCTAATTAGGGTGAGAGCAGGCTCTCCTGGGACAGATCTCCATGCAAGATCTCGGCCGAAAAATACCCTTTCAGGAGCCTGGTTTGCTACTTGGGGGGAAGCTTCAGACCTCGGAGCCGGACACAGAAGCAATAGTGCAGTGCTGGTTTTACTGAGCTGCAGTAACTAGCCTTGGAAATGGGACAGAAATAGCAAGGCGAGAGGCCAGTGCGCATCAATTGGGAACAAACGAGCTCGGGCTGCGATTAGGAGCCCCAGCATTTTGCTGCTTGCTTCCTCTGCTCTCCTGGAGCCGTTCTGACCTCAGGGGAAACCTCCCCTGAGGTCTTGCAAGTGGGCACATCTTCTTAAAATGAAAAGGTGTAGGCATAAGAGCACATGGGGGAAGGTCCTGAGCTGAGATGCTGCGGGAGTCGAAGGGATGTGACTGATGCTCGAGCTGGAGAAATGGTACAGCATTGCCCTCCCTTAGAAAGAACAGTGGAAACCAGCATCGATTGCTGCTCCAATCTGGCAGCTGTTAGTGCAGAGCTAATAACGTAGCTTTGAAAGATGCCAGGACTTTTTTTTCAAGAAAAAAGAAAGGAAGAAGCTGTATTTAAGTTTTGGGCATCCAAATCCCAAGATCTCTCGTGTTGGGCCTGCATGTAACGTGCCTGCCAATGGATTTGGGAGTATTTGGAGTCCCAAGGTGCGAGCCTGGGATG